TAATATATCTGTAAACATTAGGGACACAGAAATGGTTTCTGCAGAATGACCCAGCTTCTCCTGATGGAGTAGGAAAGCTCAAACCACCTTCCGAGACTTCTGTGAAAGAGACGAAAGCAATTCAGAAGCTGCAAGAAAGGAATTCCGATGAGAAGCGCTGCACAGCGTTAGCATAGCTAAATCAACAAAACGAAACACCTCAGAGAAGCTTGACAATCAGTGAGCAGCTTAGCCCAGCAGAACAGCCCCAGTTTAGGGTCGAAAAATTACCAAAGCTGTGAAGCAAATCTCTCAAGCAATTGTCTTCGAAATCTCCAGTAACCTCCGCAGTACAGCAACAATCTGCTGTTCAGAGAATCACAGGCAGTAGATACAAACCGCAGGACGGAGAGCTTTCATTAGCATCGAAAACAGGGAAGATTGTGTTGTGAATAGAAGAACCTGCAGTATTTCTGAGGACTTTTCCCTCAGTTTTAGTCCTTCGCATTTAGTTCCTCACTGTTTTTTGGAAAAGGAAAGGCAAACATGCATGTCTAACAAGAAACGGAGGCCTATTGTCACTTGTTATTGTGACGCCGTAATGCTAAAAATGCTAATCAGTGGCTGTTCACTTTCTTCTGCTGTTAGCAACGTTAGCTTTTTAAACGGACTATTCTGAAAGAGGCTTGACTTCTGGTTTGGCAGAATTCACAAGTTTACACCGGTCAGGCATAACATTACAAGATAACGAGTTAAATATCTTGTTATCTTGAGATAACAAAGTTGTTACCTTGAAATAACAAGTTAAATATCTTGTTATCTTGAGATAACAAAGTTATCTTGAAATAACAAGTTAAATATCTTATGTTGAGATAACAAAGTTGTTACCTTAAAATAACGAGTTAAATATCTTGTTATCTTGAGATAACAAAGTTGTTACCTTGAAATAACGAGTTAAATATCTTGTTATCTTGAGATAACAAAGTTGTTACCTTGAAATAACGAGTTAAATATCTTATGTTGAGATAACAAAGTTGTTACCTTAAAATAACGAGTTAAATATCTTGTTATCTTGAGATAACAAAGTTATCTTGAAATAACGAGTTAAATATCTTGTTATCTTGAGATAACAAAGTTGTTATCTTGAAATAACGAGTTAAATATCTTGTTATCTTGAGATAACAAAGTTGTTATCTTGAAATAACGAGTTAAATATCTTGTTATCTTGAGATAACAAGGTTGTTATCTTGAAATAACGAGTTAAATATTTTGTTACCTTGAGATAACAAAATTGTTATTCTGAAATCACAAGATAATTCACTTGTTATCCCAAGATAACATCCCAGAAAATTATAGGAACAGCTCATGGCCTCTCCCGACTTCCGTGGCTAAAGGTCTCCTCTGATGATCTCTTTTCACCAGTAATGCTGTCACTGCGCTAAACGTGGCTATGAATGATGGTTTTTCAGCGCTAACATGTAAACCCAGCATTACATTAGGAAAAATGTTTAATTTTAAACGGTGAAGGGATTACATAATAATAAATAATAATAAACTATATTTATATAGCACCTCTCTTACATTAGAATGCAGCTCAGTATGGGTTACAAGAAAAAATAGTAAATACATACATCATCTAAACCGCTTATCCTTCTGGGTCGCAGTGGGGTGCTGGAGCCTATCCCAGCTGTCATTGGGCGGAAGGCAGGCCATTCTCACTGTGAGGCAACAGCGCTACCCACTGCACCACCGTGCCGCCCAAATAGTAAACAATAGCAGAGAAAAATAAAATGGTATAAAAATCAATGATGAGCTTAATAGTAACAATTAAAAATAAATAATAAAGTAATGACCTAATAGGTATAACAAGGAAATGTAGCCCAGAAAAAATAAAAATAGATAATTACTCATAAAATGTGAAATGATGTGCTCTGCTTTCCCAAAGCGTCTTCTGGTTTGGTTTATGGTGAAGCAGAAGAGCCGTGTTTGGTACTGAAGGCCATAATCTTCAGGAACCTTTAATAAATTACCATATATTTGTAAAAATAAACAGCCCTGATTGTGATACATACACATTCCAGACGTCTGTTCTGGTTAAGCAGTTCAGCAGGATCTTCTTCTGACAAGAAACAGGAAGAAATTTTCAGGCTGTTGTTTTTTTTATATCATCCTTTTCTTCTCTGCGAAAAAAACCAGCATTTCATTTTCCCCTCGTCCTTTGTCTCTGCGCTTCCGTGTTTTTCTGCCAGGTGAACGCGAACGTTTCATTAGCGGCCAGGGCGCGAGAGGCAGCGTGAACGGGACGGTGGAGACAATGGGTTCGTTCAGGGCTGGATATTATGCCATTATTCCCGGTGAAATACAGGGATGTTGTCATGATCCCATTAGCGTTTTTCCCATTTAGCGTGCATTTATATTTACCGCAGACAAAGGAGGCACAATTAGTTTCCCCGGAGGGGCGGCAGGATTTATCTGCGTCCGTGCAGACGGGATTCTCTCGTGGTTTGTTTTTTTTAATTCATGGGAATGCAGCGCACGTCCCGGAGCGACACCGCGCAATGAATCACGCTCTAAACATAGCCTGCGCTGTAGTGGCACAGGCAAGACGACTGCATGTTTATGGATTTCGGTTCAGCATCGGGCCAGCATTCTCAGATGACTCCTCGCTTTTTAAAATGCGGTCTGTGGGCTGAGGGCTAGTTTTTGTGAAGGTGGCCTTGCAGAAAGCAGCCCAGCGTCTTCCGCTGTGTTTACGAGCGCTGGGCTTAGTCATGCTGTACCCTGTGAGTCACAGAGGGACGAGTCACTCTGGATGCTGGCGTGGTTTGAGGATGTGACATTGGTGGGGTGGTATTTTTGTATTTGCTTACGTTATTTACATTAGCATTACGCTAAGTAAGGCATAGCAGGAACCTACCTTATACGTTAAATGGCCAAAAGTATGTGGACACCTGACCGTCACACCTTTATGAGCTTGTTGGACGTCCCATTCTCAAACGATGGGCATTCATTTGGAATTGGCTCTCCTTTGTGGCTCTAACAGCCTCCACTCTTCTGAGAAAGTCTTTCTACAAGATTTTGGAGTGTGGCTGGGAATTTGGGCCTATTCTGTCAAAAGAGCATTTATGAGGTCAGGCACTGAATTTCTTCCACACCAAACCTTTCAATTCATGTCCTTAGACAAATAGATAGATAGATAGATAGATAGATAGATAGATAGATAGAAAGACAGACAGGTGCTCAATCATGCTGGAACAGGAAAGGCTCTTCCCTAAATTGTTGCCACAAAGTTGGAAACGTATAATTGTGTAAAATGTCTTTGTGAGCTGTCCATTAACATCACCCTTCACTCACTAAGGGGCCCAAACCCTGAAAAACAGCCCCAGCCCATCATCCCTCCTCCCCTGTTTAAAGTCACTGAGCTCATCAGTACGAGCCATTCTACTGCCAGCGTTTGTCTATTGAGACTGCAAGGCTATGTGCTTGATTTTATACAGCTGTTAGCAATGGGCGTGGCTGAAACACCTGAACTTAGTATTTAGAAGGTGTGTCCACATACTTTTGGCCACATAATGTAGGAAACAAGCTTTCAGACACTTTTGCTATTGTTATTTAATAAACTTCCTGAGCAGATATCCACAAAAAAGTGTATTCATTAGTATAAAGAGATGAAAAAGGTGTTTAGATGAAATTGAACTATTCAGAACTACTTAGTGACATTAGTACTTTGTTGCAAAGCCATTATTGGCAGCTTTAAGATGTTTACGGTAAGAATTCATTCGCTTTTGCAACATTGTGGTTCAGTTTTGGTCCATTTCTCTTGGCGAGGTTACGAGAGTCCTTCTGATGAACTCGCAATTTAAGAGTCCTCTATAAATTTTCAGTGGTGTTTAAGTCAGGAGGCCATGCACGTCTTTTAGCTGAATGTTTGTGGTCAAATTCTCCTCTGATGTCTCCTGATCCATCACTCCATGCTGTAGTCCATCTGTTTCTCTGCAGACTTTGTTAGCCCCCTTTTACCCTGTTCTTCAGTGGTCAGGACCCCCATGGACCCCCACAGAGCAGGTACTAATTGGGTGGTGGGTCATTCTCAGCACTGCAGTAACACTGACGTGGTGGTGGTGTGTTAGTGTGTGTTGTGCTGGTACGAGTGGATCAGACACAGCAGTGCAGCTGGAGTTTTTAAACACTGTGTCCACTCACTGTCCACTCTATTAGACACTCCTATCTTGTCGGTCCACCTTGTAGATGTAAAGTCAGAGATGATAGCTCATCTGCTGCTGCACAGTTTGTGTTGGTCATCCTCTAGTCCTTCATCAGTGGTCACAGGACGCTGCCCACAGGACACTGTTGGCTGGATATTTTTGGTTGGTGGACTATTCTCAGTCCAGCAGTGACACTGAGGTGTTTAAAAACTCCAGCAGCACTGCTGTGTCTGATCCACTCAGACCAGCGCAACACACACCACCACGTCAGTGTTGCTGCAGTGCTGAGAATGACCCACCACCCAATTAGTACCTGCTCTGTGGGGGTCCATGGGGGTCCTGACCACTGAAGAACAGGGTAAAAGGGGGCTGATAAAGTATCAGAGAAACAGATGGACTACAGTCTGTAACTGTAGAACTACAAAGTGCACCTATATAGTAAGTGGAGCTGATAAAATGGACAATGAGCGTAGAAACAAGGAGGTGGTCATAATGTTATGCCTGATCGGTTTATGGTAACCGCTGAGGTGTTGCCTTATCTATCTTTCTCTGCACTGTCAGTCTTGTAAACAAACGTTTATCATGCTATGAAAGATTTTCATTTAAGTCTTAGTATCCCTGTTAAAGATCGTCTGAGAAACAAATGGACAGAGAAATTCCAGAAAAAATCAGTAAAATAATAAAGGACACTCATTCTGTTTTGTAAAGCATTGTGATCTCCTGCAGTCAGAGAGGCAAATAAATAGAAATAAATAATGACTATAGCAGAACTATTTCTAAACACAATTGAAAAAATTGCGTACCTGTACAGTCTAGGCCAGGGGTTCTCAACCCTCTCCACCCCAAGGCCCACCTGTGTATAAATACAATGCATAGCGACCCACAGGAAAACTAAAATCAGCTTTTTTAACTCTTTAATGTTCTGCTCAACCATTTGGTGGAGCACATTTTGAGTCACTGTATACGCCACAAAGTGCCGTCTCAACCGATTGGTAGACATGAACTGTAGGGTCCAAAAAAAAAAAAAAGAAAAACACGATTTGTTTTTATTATTGCCCCAAACAAATAAAAAATACAAAAAAGAAATTCCATTGCTTTTTTCTTGGTGAGGACATTAAAGGGTTAAAATACAACTTTATGTATTTATTTATTTATTTATTTATTTATTTTAAATGCTGACACTGAAAACCTGAAAATTAGCCCCTCAAAAAGATCAGATTGGTCATTCTGGTTGTCAGTAGGTTTGCAAAATTTGCAGGTATGTTAAAAAAAGCATGAAACGTGTAAAAATACCCCATGGTATTATGGGATGTCATAAAGGTGGGAAAAAAGAAAAAAATGAATAGAAATGTACGAGGTAGATGTGATTTGGAGCTGCAGTCCATCAAGTTTTCATAAAAAATGCTGCACTGGCTTTTCCAAAGGAGTCATTGTTTGGCCTCGAGATGGTTCTAGTTTTGAGGGTTTTTGTGATGCGTTTGAAGCCGAACTCCACCCACTGGGCTTTTGGATTAGCGTCGTCACAATTAACAATAATGAGACATCTTACCTGATATCAGCTTCTCTGTCACTGGTTTATTTGAGTTTAACCAGTCAGGTCGCTGATGCTCGACCAAACAAACACTCCGCAATCCATGAGTTGAAATCAAATGCAGTATTTTATGTCTGTTGTTTTTAACAGCAGCTCGTTCTGAGTCTGTAAGAGTCAGTTTAAAACAGTCATTATGCTGACTGTACGGCGCCGACGTGCTGCTAGAGCAGAAGGGGAGCCAGCTTTGTTGATGAATTCCCTCGTTTGATGACAGAGAGCGTTTCCATCAGCAATGAACTGAACAGGGTTCGGTTTGAAGTGGACAGAGACCCGCAGGTTTCTGCTGGAACGTTTTCTGCAGACCTGAATATGAGTGGAAAGTCCACACCAAACAAAGCGACCTGAGAAACTTCTCCGTCTCTGGTTCGCTGTCTGCATCGCGCTCCTGCGGCTGCGTTGTCTCAGACTGATGACGTGCAACTAGCCACTACTGCAACGATTCTATTTGTATATCAATAATAACGTTTATATTGGTTTTGATGTGAAAACGTTTAATTCTTAGATTTTTTCTACTTACGACTTACGGTGACGTTACCAGCCAGAACTACTGCCTCCCTCTGAGTACAGGACCATGGTCCACTAGAGGGTGCGTCACGGCCCACTCGTGGTCCACAGCCCACATGTTGGGAAACCCTGGGCTTGGCCAAACAGATACGAACAGATTCCCAACTTACAGAACGATGTACAGTCAGTAATGTGGAGTGAACTGGATAGTTATGCTATGTTAGGTCCATAGGCACACCCACTGATGCACACAGCAGGCCCATATACAGGTGCTTTGGGGGGCAGGGGCTCAAGAAGAAAAAGAAGCAACATGAACATAAATATAATTTAATTTGCTGTGTAATGCAATCACTGTAATCAAAGGTGAGACAGTGTAATAATGTTTCAGATAAAACCAAACAGAGTTTTTCTAAGGGCAGCCAGAAACGTTACCATCTATGCAGGGATTTGAACCCCAGATGTCAGTCAAGTTCACTACACTGTATGTAATGTATAGGTATATCTCTGTTTAGGAGCTCCGCATAGAAACTCATATATAATAATGAAAACTTGGTGTAGTTATCAGCACCATCATTGTTGACATCATGATTGGTTGTTTGGTCAAAGTAACCACAGTATGGAATGTGGCTCTTAACGTTTCATCTGTGGGGTCTGGTGATACATGGCAGCTCAGAATTCCTGAGGAGAACCACAGGCAGTGGACCAAGAGTGCTAAATCTCATAGGACCCAAGCTGACCCACAAGCTCTATCTCGCTGAAATGGACGAGTTATTATAAACGCCACCCAAGAGGGCTGAAGGTCAAGCCCAACCTTGGGGTCTATCTGTGCATGTGTTGATTAATTTTACATACTTTTTAAAAACCCCTCAAAATAACGGCCCACTTGCCCAAATTTCGTCCATCCGCCACAGCACTTTTTTCACCACCCGATCCAGCCAAAATCTTGGTGGGAAGCCACCTAATGTGGCAACAAGGTTCTGAGCACAGCAGTGACCCTGACATGGTAGTGTATTAGTGTTGGGACGGGTGTATCAAACACAGCAGTGTTGCTGGGTTTTTTTACACATATCAGTGTCACAGCTATTTTGATAGAGGACTACTGCCTAAAAATATCCAGAAAAGAGTGGCTCTGTGGTCAGAAACTGACCATCGATAAAGGACTACAGGATAGCTAGTGCAAGCTGTGCGTCAACACAGGTCTCCAACCATACACCAGCAAGGTGGAGCTACAGGAGGCAGGTTTCTGATTCTGTCATAAAGGTTGATTCACCAGGACACTAACATCACACTCAGTGGAAACATCTGAACGCTGTCAGCTTACTGGCTGTGTGATCATGAACCCGCAGTGCTTTGTTTGCTCAGTTGTCTAGTCGTTCTGTCGTAGAACACTTGATTTGCCTGCAGCGGGTTGTGGCTCTACGTTGAATGCAATCACTGCTAGATATATAAATGTCATTTAGGGTTTATGCATGACTGATATGGCTCCTACATTCTTGGTAAACAGGGTTCAATATCAGGGCCTGACTGATGGGAATATTTAAGAGGCTAAAATTCTGTTCTCGATAGTGCTGATATAATTTTACATTTATATTTTAAATTGTCATATTCCCATAGTTTTAGAAAGATTGAATAACAATTGAATACCTGTGTCAACAATGGATGCATCTTAAAATAAAAATGTATTTATTAGAAAGGCTGTCTGGATACTTTTAAACAGATTATGTACCAGAGATAGCAATGGTCTCTGCATTGGGCTGATACTGACTATACTAGATCAGATATCTGAGAGAAAAAAGTTATATAGCACCTTCCTCAAATGAAAGGATGCTTTACAATAACAACAAATCAGAAGCAAACACACACAGATATCCCCAGCTGGCAGGGATAAAAACTCTCCTGACTGCGTTGTATAGTTTCCCGGTTTGCGGCCCAGTCAAACTCCACTATTGTTATGAAAAGTGGCCCAGCTCGCAGCCTAGTTAAACTCCACTACTGTAAAGAAAAGTGGCCCAGCTCGCAGCCTAGTTAAATTCCACTACTGTAAAGAAAAGTGGCCCAGCTCGCAGCCTAGTTAAACTCCACTGCTGTAAAGAAAAGTGGCCCAGCTTGCAGCCTAGTTAAACTTTACTAATGTTATGAAAAGTGGCCCAGTTCACAGCCTGGTTAAACTCCATTACTGTTATGAAAAGTGTAGTCCAGATTATGGCCTAGTTAAACTCCACTCCTGCAGTGAAAAGTGGCCTGGGTCACGGCCTAGTTAAACTCTACTACTGTTATGAAAAGTGGCCCAGCTTGCGGCCTAGTTAAACTCTGTTACTGTAATGAGAAGTGGCCCGGCTAACTACATAGTTAAACTCTACTACTGTTATGAAAAGTGGCCCAGCTTGCGGCCTAGTTAAACTCTGTTACTGTAATGAGAAGTGGCCCGGCTAACGACATAGTTAAACTCCACTACTGTTATGAAAAGTGGCCCGGCTCGCAGCCTAATTAAACTCCACTACCAGAGAAAAGTGACCTGGCTTGTTGCCTAGTTAAACTCTAAAACTGTGGTGAAAAGTGACTGGCTTGCTTTCAAGTCTCCACTACCACAGTGACATGTTACCCAGCTTAGTGAAACTCTGCTACCGTGATGGAAAGTGTCCCGGGACAGATCCTAGTTAAATTCCACTACCGCAGTGAACAGTGATCCGACTTGTGGCTAAGTCATCTGGCCTACGGGCTGGTTGAACTGTGGAAAGTGGCTTGTGGCCCGGCCAGACCCCAAAGTCTCTTGGCCAATTCTCAGTCGACAATAAAAAAACTGCTGAGGCTTTGTTGTGTGTTTCTTTTTGGAATCACCGCTTCTGAATGTCCATTAAAAAGTCTGAAGAGCAGCTTTGTGTCCAGACCATTTAAGAAACTTGAGCAATAGGCCCAAAGTTCATCCTGGCATGTTTGGCTCTGAGAAGCCTGGCGGGTTTAGAAGTCTTTGAAATCCCACAGATGTTGGGTTTGACCTTTTTTTTGCACTGTAGTGCCCAGCGCGGCTGAGAAAGTGGAGATGTGATCACATGCTCGCACGCTTAACTTTCCTGATCAGGCCGCTTTTTAGGGGCAGATTAGCATATAGATGAATGTAGGTCCCCTGTGGGGGTTTTAGAGGGTTATCAGATGACAAAAAAGCTGTATGGAAAACAAGCTCAGGCCCCTAGAATAAAAAAAAAAAAACACAAGAATTCAGAACTGCTTTTCTTCTTTCCTCCAGGGTGTAAATTTTAAATACACTTCCTTACAGGATTGTTTATGGCCACATTTTTAACACCCATATATTTATTACTGAGCATGCCTGATATGGTTGATATTTCTGGATTCTTCCTCTAATCACTATGACAGTATCTTAAGCCTCATATCTAGTGGTGCATGATATATCAATGGCTAATTAAAATAATATTATAATGCATTAACAATGTATTTGCCAATAAATGGAAAAAAATAATGATTATTATTGACCCAATATTGAAACTATAGCTGATAATTTTGCTTATTTAAGTTGTTTTAAAATACTTAATTTAAGATTCGTTATGTGTTATATCTACTGATATTGGCCACAGTAAGGTGTTGTTATCAGCCTTGAAGTTCCATATCAGTGAATTCCTGCTTATTTATTATTTGAGTGATTTTTTAAATGCCTGTGTTTCAGACATGGACGATAATGACGGACTAAAGCCGGTGATGGTGTACATTCACGGCGGCTCTTATGTGGAAGGCACAGGAAACATGATTGACGGCAGCGTCCTCGCCAGCTACGGCAATGTCATCGTGGTCACCCTCAACTACCGTCTGGGGGTTTTAGGTCAGTTCTTTGATGCTTCATTCTATTACAGCATTTAGGACATGTACATGTGATTAACATACACTGATGAAGTAGGAGAATCTACACTGTACATAGAAACTGCGGACTGCAAGGCTGTTGCATGTTACTTTTTATACAACAGAAACTGATTCAAAGTTTGCCCGTCATATAAAAGAATATCGTTGCTGTCCAAAGAAAAACTCCAAAACAGTAACTTTACAGGAGAGGTCAAACTTTTTTTACTTTTAATGTAAGTCAAAGGAAAGAGATTTTTTTCTAAGCAATTTTGGTGCATTTTTATTGGTTAATTCATCATGAAATTTTCACATGATGAAAAAAAATGGCTGCTATGCTCAAATGATGTAGAAAAGTGAAAACTGCAAAAAATGCAGATGCATGTTTTTCTTTGTACGCTGTTGGAACAAAATCATGTATCTCCATTTTTGCCATTTTTTATTTTTTGACATAATTTGAAAGGCCAGCTGACCGTCATGATGTGCAAAAATTCCTTCATTTATTTAATTTCCAGTCACGGCCATGAAGTACAAATTATTTATTTTTCTGAAGATATTTCTGGGGAGATTAGATATAATATAATCTTATAATATAATCCACTTTAGGAAAGAGAAAGTCAAAGGAAAATAAGTACAAAAAAAAACAGGAGTTTCCAAAACTGGAGATACATTGAAAACGGGACTCCTAACAACCACCTGGAAGAGCTGGTCGACACCAAAACTGCCCCCATCAGATAAACAGCACTTAAAGCTTTCATCTCTGAGAGAGAGGAGAAAATCAAGCTGATCAGATCTGAAAACATCCACATGTGTTTCTGTCCATCCTTCCACTGTGAGAAGACGACTCAGCGCTGTGGGTCTGAAAGGATGTGTAGCTGAAGAACCTCACTGAGAAAAGGAGACGGACACATCAAACAAAGAAGCTGAACGATGGACTGACCACCCCAGAGTCCAGACCTCAACACCACTGAATGTGTTTGATTACTTCAGAAAATGATCAACCAGCTTCTAAGACTGAACTTTGGAGGTGTGTCTGCAGATTCTTTGAGGAACTGAAAGTGAGGGCTGATCAGCTGTGCAGCAACATAGACTACAGTCTGTAAACGTACACCGACATACTGGAGCCATAAGGTGGAGCTCATAAAGTGGATGTTTACACATAAGACTAGTGCAGTTTGACTGTCAGTAATTGAATTTACACAATAATTTGCTTCACTGACCACAACAGGGAAATGATTTTGTTTGTTCTTTTAGCAGATTCTTAATCTTTCTGAAAAAAACACAAGAGTAATGTTCTTTTCCTGACCCTGCTGAGAGCGATTGCAAAAATATTGCAAAAAATATGAATGTGCATAATTTCCTCCAGGGCAAATCCTCCACTGCGTTTTTGAAGAAGTTCAGAACAGAGAGCGGAGAAAAAAGATTTCAAAGCAAATTAAAAAGTAAATGATGTTCATAAATGGAATTAATATTTCAGTCCTGTACCACCTACAGCTTTGTCTTTGGAAAAGTGTGATCTGAGGGGAACACGGCTGGGTAAACTGGCACCAAGAGCATCTCGGCATGGTGTCATTTGTTGCAGCTCTGCGTGGAACAACAGTGCTAATTTGCTTATTCGATATCACAGTGTGATGGAGCTTCTTTGCTGAGATATTTTGATGTCCCCAGTGTAAGAAATAATGAAACAGTAGACAAATAGAAAGGAGGAATAGAGGAGACTTTACCACCTGTTTCCTAGTTTATCAGTGCATTAGACAGGGGTAAAGTGACAGTGCTGGTGTCGCACTGAAACTCAGCATCACACAGAGAAATACACTATACTGCCAAAAGTGTTCGCTCGTCTGCCTTCACACGCATATGAACTTGAGTGACGTCCCATTCTTAATCCATAGGGTTTAATATGATGGCGGCCCACCCTTTGCAGCTATAACAGCTTCAGCTCTTCTGGGAAGGCTTTCCACAAGGGTTAGGAATGTTTATGGGAATTTTTGACCATTCTTCCAGAAGCACATTTGTGAGGTCAAACACTGATGTTGGATGAGAAGGCCTGGCTCGCAGTCTCCACTCTAGTTCATCCCAAAGTTGTTCTATCAGGTTGAGGTCAGGACTCTGTGCAGGCCAGTCAAGTTCTTCCACACCAAACTCACTCATCCATGTCTTTATGGAGCTGCTTTGTGCACTGGTGCGCAGTCATGTTGGAACAGGAAGGGGCCAAACTCCCCAAACTGTTCCCACAAAGTTAGGAGCATGAAATTGTCCAAAATCTCTTGGTGCTGAAGCATTAAGAGTTCCTTTCACTGGAACTAAGGGTCCGAGCCCAACTCCTGAAAAACAACCCCACACCATAATCCCCCCTCCACCAAACTTTACACTCGGCACAATGCAGTCAGACATGTACCGTTCCCCTGGCAACCGCCAAACCCAGACTTGTCCATCGGATTGCCAGATGGAGAAGCGTGATTGGCCACTCCAGAGAACACGTCTCCACTGCTCTAGAGTCCAGTGGCGGCGCTTTACACCACTGCATTCGACGCTTTGCATTGCGTTTGGTGATGTAAGGCTTGGATGCAGCTGCTCGGCCATGGAAACCCATTCCATGAAGCTCTCTACGCTGTTCTTGAGCTGATCTGAAGGCCACATGAACTTTGGAGGTCTGTAGCGGTTGACTCTGCAGAAAGTTGGCGACCTCTGCGCACTATGCGCCTCAGTATCCGCTGACCCCGCTCTGTCATTTTACGTGGAATATTTAGTAGTGAGGAAATTTCATGACTGGACTTGTTGCACAGGTGGCATCCTCTCACGGTACCACACTGGAGTTCACTGAGCTCCTGAGAGCGACCCATTCTTTCACTAATGTCTGTAGAAGCAGTCTGCAGGCCTAGGTGCTTGGTTTTATACACCTGTGGAAGTGATTGGAACACCTGAATTCAGTGATTTGGATGGGTGAGTGAAGACTTTTGGCAATATAGTGTACATATCATTGCTGTCGGGATTACATCATACAACTTCCTCACAAATAAGAGCAAAACTTTCACATTCAGTTAAAATACAAAATCTGCATGTCATTGAATGACTAACCGAATAGAGATTTTGGAGTATTCTGTATGGGTACCGTGAGTACTCGAGTACCCATGCACATCTCTAATAGCAACACTTTTACATCCAGTAGTTTTGAGACGGACCCTAACGCTGAAGCAGATGCAAACACAGTGATAGCGTGTGAGTTGAGTCAGATAAAACAATATAATAAAATCACAGTTAAAAGTTGTGGTTGTAGTATTTCATCTTTAATTTGGCCACAAAACTTCAATTAATCCAGTAATAAAGAACAGAATTTACGTTTGTCAAATAATTTTTACTGTCTGAGGCCTCTTAGCTTAGCTTAGCCTGCCATCTTCTCTGAAGCTGTTCGCCTGAGGTTGTTTGAAATCAACTTTGTGTGCTTTTAAACACCAAAAACAGTCATAATTTTAAAACGACCATTTTCCAACCTCTATTTATACCTTAGAATTCATGAGGCTGTTCCTGATCATGTGTCTTTAAGACTGATATATGTAAATGAGCTCTGTTCTGAGTGGCTGTGCGTCAATAAAAAAGCAGTCCCGGCTGAAACACTCCTTATAACTTCACTGTGAATGGGCAGGGCTAAACTGCTGTAGGCTAGGTGGATATGGGTAAAAGTTGGTTTTTGTGACATCACAGAAACAATGAATTCAAAATGAGCTGCTTTTGCAGAGGAATGTTTTAAAACTTTAAAAACTTTTCAAAATCTACTTAAGAATTCTGTTTTCCAGAACGTGGGCCCTTTAAATCACTGTAAATACTTTCCAAATTGTGCTATATTTAAATGTAATACATAATGACATCTTTATAAATACTATATAATGTCGCAACTCTATAGCAGAGGTCCAATTAATGATTATTAGTGTTTAAACAAGTATATATCATATGACCAAAAAGTAGTAAATATCTACTTAATGATTTAAAACAGAATGAAATCATGTATCATGTAACTACATAAATGCTTAATATTTTAAGAGTATCATATAACTTAATATAACGACATAACTAACAACTAATTCTTGAATATTTCTGTGTCATTAAGTAAATAGTTAATAGTTCAGATGATAACATGTATTAACCATGTAATAATATTAACTATGAAATAATTGTTGTATAGTTTTTTTTAAACCAGTTGTTTAACCATCACTGGGGGCTGTTACCGTGGTAACCCGGTTAACCGTCACCGGGCCCAGGAAGTGTTTTCCTTCACGGCGTCCAGCAGGTTGTCATTACCATTTATCTATCACGTCTTTGCGATTTAGCCGTCATAGATAATCCCGAACCTTTAAATCAGGAGCGGAGGGGTGCCAGCCGAGCCTTGTGGCCACATGGGTCAACGCCTCATTAAAGGACTGCGAGAAAACCCACGAGCGTGCCGATGACCCTGGAATAAATTGTCCAGGCGAAAAAGTCCTACATCACAAAAGGGGGTTTCAATTAACCTTTATCAAAAGGCCGGCCAGGGAGGGTGATTTATGCGTGGCGGGTGAAGGTTACCCAGGCCTCATTCGATTCAGGCTCGGCGCCGACACTGCGCTGGAATTAGCGACGCCGTCAGCCAAGACGCATCCCCTCACATCGAGATTCGGACAGCGTGCCGGCCCAGTCCATAAGTAGCATCATTCAGGGTCAGAGAACAAGATGAAAAGGTCTTTATGTGACTTTAGAGGCAGAACTTACTCGGCTGATTGGTTACAAGCAAAGTTTGTCTAAATCGGCCAAGTAGTTCTCGTTTATACACGCTTATGGTTCTTCAAGGGTTCTTTATAAAGAAAGTGGTTCTATATAGAAACATGAACCCTTTGCATGATGAAACGTTCTTTGCATGGTGAAAGGATCGATGGAGAATGTGCTGTGGATGGTTCTATGTAGAACCTTTTTGAAAAGGGTTCTATATAGCACCAAAAAGGGTTCTTCTTTTGGTACAAGCTTGACATTGTAACAATAGAAGAACCCATTTTGGTGCTACATAAAACCCTTTTCAAAAAGGTTCTAAAAGTTCCCTGTTAATTTTGAATAACTATTACACGTTACGCTGGTCCAGACTCTGAGGAAGCAGTTAGCCACTGTGTTCCTTTACTATTTTGACATTTTGTCCAAAAAAAGCAGGAAAGATTCTTATTAAACCTGAAGCTGCGTCTCATGTTCTACTGCGAGTGCCTGCTAGCGAGCTAATCTAGTCAGCTAACAGATTAGCTTAGCCAGTAAACTCAGGGAAGCCCTCAGCTTTGGACCTTCATTCTGAAGCTGAATAAGACCTCGAAGTAATATTAAACTACCAATTCATTTTTTCAATGAATTAGTTATTTAATCTTATATCGTTGTATGTATTAATATTTGTATTTATGTCATCACTATAGTAGCAGCACTCTTACTTAAAGGGGAAATAATACCGATTTTCAACATTTCTGCATTGTTCAATCATTACAATGTAAACAGAGTCGTTCAGAGTGGTTTGGTGTGAAACGCTCCGTTCTAGAGAAACATACGGAGTCAGAATTGTTCACAGTGGTGGTGATAGGAACCAGACGTCCACCTCTAAAAGCACAGAAAGTTGTCACACGATATAGTTTGTATATACATCCTGATGTCTGGGACACTGTTTTACCCTAGTTTTACAAAAAGCGTTTGGCCAAAAATTAATATTTTATAGTTCATTAAGGGTGGAGAGGTAAAGGCAAGGCATTTTACAGCAAAACAGTCCCCAGAAAACACGCATTTCTTCTGCTTTATTACTATTTTCCCATCATCAACATTCGATATAAACAGAAGACTCGTGTAGGTTCACTGGTGATTTTGGACAGTAAATAAAATGGCTATGTTTTCTGTTTTAGTCAACCACTGTAAAGAAATATACAATGAATATTTTCACATCAGACAACTCTGAATGACTTTGTTTACTTTTCAGCAATTGGATTATGCACAGCTTTAGAATCGATGAAATTCCCGCTGTAAGGAGGAGTTTTCAGTGCTCTTCCCACCCCTGTAAACTGATGCGCTTAAAATAGACTGTAATCATATTTGGTATCATTTATCCACACATCCAGTTTTTTCAGCAGTTTGATGTCACCATATTAATGGAGGAATTTAGCACAGCTATGGAAATATGCGCCATCTGGTGAGACGGAATCATCAGGTGTAATTGATCATACAGTCGCGTCCTTAAAAGACAGATTAATCAAACGTGGCGCAAAGCAGCACTGCAGCAGTGTAAATTACTACCACTGCACCTCCTCGCATTAGCAGCGCATTTATTAACGGCCGTGACATCCTAAAAAAGACAGAAGACAGCGCAGCAGTTTGGCTGCAGTGGTATTTGTTTGCATCACGGCCCGTCTACATGTACATATATGTATGTGTGTGTGTATATATATAGTGTGGTGTGGAAGAACTTGACTGGCCCTCACAGATCCCTGACCTCAACCCCATCCAACACCTTTGGGATGAACTAGAATGGAGATTGTGAGCCAGACCCTCTCGTTCAACATCAGCGTCTGACCTCACAAATGCTCTTCTGGATGAATGGGCAGAAAATCCCACAGACTCTCCAACATCTTGTAGGAAGATTCCCAGAAGAGTGGAAGCTGTTAGAGCTGCAAAGGGGGACCAACTCCATATTAATGCCTATGGATTTAGAATGGGACTCATAAAGCTCTTGTAGGTGTGATGTGTAGGTGTCCCAATACTTTTGTCCATATAGTGTATATTCACATGAGTTGTAACATTTACGCTTGAGCTTCACTCTCAGGTTATGGTCACTGTACATTTAGATCACTGCAGTGTGAGATACTGTATAAAGTTTGTAGGAAACTGGGCACTTTGGTCACTTTTATTCCCCTTTGCAGGAATTTAATGGCAGCCAATTAGCTCAAATGAATAACAGTACATTTTGTTTTTCAGGGTTCCTGAGCACGGGGGATCAAGCTGCCAAGGGGAACTACGGGCTGCTGGATCAGATCCAGGCTCTCCGATGGGTGAAGGAGAACATTCAGGCTTTCAATGGAGACCCTCGACGAGTGACGATATTTGGGTCTGGAGCTGGAGCGTCGTGTGTCAGCCTACTGACCTTGTCACACTATTCAGAAGGTACACAGCAGTTCACATGGCTCTAGAACTGAGGCTAACCTGTAGTGGTTTAGTGAAAAAATCGAATTCCCTCCTTTACATCAAATGTAGTCGATCAACCAAGACACGACTGCAGTGCTGCGGTGTCTGGACAGGGCGCACTGCGCCCTCTTAGACACCTGGTGGTGTCATTTGAACTATATCTGGATTGTATTCTGATAAGATTTTAACCACAGGCATTTACACTTCATAATCAAATATCATAATCAAATGCGTCTCTGGGCGCGATGTTTAAATCAGCTCATTTACATCGATCAGGCATAAAATTCTGACCACCTCCTTGTTTCTACACTCATTGTCCATTTTATCAGCTCCACTTACTATATAGGTGCACTTTGTAGTTCTACAGTTACAGACTGTAGTCCATCTGTTTCTCTGATACTTTGTTAGCCCCCTTTTACCCTGTTCTTCAGTGGTCAGGACCCCCATGGACCCTCACAGAGCAGGTACTATTTGGGTGGTGGGTCATTCTCAGCACTGCAGTAACGCTGATGTGGTGGTGGTGTGTTAGTGCGTGTTGTGCTGGTACGAGTGGATCTTACTTTGCTCTACTTTAAGCTTTAGCTCAGCTATAGCTGCTTTTCTCGCATCTCCAGCAGGAAACTTTTACTCAAAAGTGGAACAGTTTCTTGTAAAATGTCTCTCATTGTTCGACTTTTTACGAGGCTGAAGTCGCTTCTCATTCACCAGCTTCTCGTTCGAATTGTCCTGTTTCACCTTAAGTGGAGACAGCAGAATGTATCTGCTGCACCATTTAAGGTGGAACGGGAAAAATCGAACAAGAAGCTGGTGAATGAGAAACGACTTCAGCAACTTTTTAGAGTTCGTCAGTTTCTCACTGCAGATTAAACGTATCAGGAAACCAGCTGGAGTGATTATAAACACTAATCAGTCCATTCCTCTCCAAGTTATCGATGTTCATCTTAAATCTCTCTCTTTGCCGTTTCGTTAGCTACTAGCTAGGCGAGACTGTCGTCTGTGTTGCTATGGTGACCAGCAGTCTGCGCTGATCTTCAGGGTTAAAGGGTGAATCAGCAGTTCTACATTAACTCCAGAGTTTAAGACCATTTATTGTTAAACTGTGTTGAACGATCAGCAGAGCTTTATTTTACTGTAAAGGAGGATTATTTTATTTTTACCCACAAATCTAATTCTGCTGTGGAGCCACAACAGGGCAGTAAAAGAGCCGCAAGTGACCCCGGAGCAACATGCTCCCTGTCCTAGAGGGTCTTCTTGATCTGGCCAACTGTTGTGAAGGGGTTTCCTTCACCAGGGAAAGAATTCTTCTGTCTTCTACCACTGTTGTTTTCTTTGTTCTTATGTGCCTTTTGGTGTTTCTGAGCTCAGCTCTGTGCTCTTTCTTTTAAAAAATGTGAAAAATCCCTTTTAAAAAAGTCAATTTGGCCACAGCTAATGTTCTTACTGTCTCTCTGATGGGTTTGTTTTGATTTTTCAGCTTAGTAATGGTTTGCCAGTGAAGCCCTTTGGACTTAGAGAGTGAACAGCAACAGATTTCAAATGCAAATACCACTCTTGAAATCAACTCTAGACCTTTCATGTGCTTGTTTGTAAGTGGAATAATGAGGAAATAACACACCCCCGGCCATGGAACAGCTGAGCAGCCGATTATCCAATTACTTATGAGCCCCTAGAAATGGGGGTCTGTGTATAGAAATGGTTGTAATTCCTACAATCACCTGGTTTAGATGTAAACACCCTCAAATTGAAGTCTGCACTGCTCATACTCATCAACTCCATTATACATTATGCTGTGGTAAACAGCTAAAACAACAACTTTGCCAATATCTAAATATTTCTGAACAAAAAGGAGACACAATTCAGACACCAGACACGTCTTGGCTGATCAACTCCATTTTTTGCTGAATTACCACATTTAGGCGTAAGTGTTGCTCAGTACCTGCTTTCTGTTAGCACTGTTTAACAGTCTTGTCCATCTGTGCTCCAGACCTCTTCCAGAAAGCAATCATTCAGAGCGGCACAGCCCTGTCCAGCTGGGCAGTGAACTACCAGCCGGCCAAATACACCCGCATGCTGGCTGAGAAGGTGGGCTGCAACGAGGACGACTCTGTGGAGCTGGTTCAGTGCCTCCAGAACAAGAATTACAAGGAGCTCATCGAGCAGAGCATCACGCCTGCCAAGTACCACATCGCGTTCGGCCCCGTGATCGACGGAGACGTCATTCCGGACGACCCGCAGATCCTGATGGAGCAAGGCGAGTTCCTGAACTACGACATAATGCTGGGAGTGAACCAGGGAGAGGGCTATAAGTTCGTGGATGGTATCGTGGACAGCGAGGACGGGGTCACCGGAAATGACTTTGAGTTCGCCGTGTCGGATTTCGTCGATAACCTGTACGGCTACCCGGAAGGAAAGGACACCCTGAGGGAAACCATAAAGTTCATGTATACGGATTGGGCAGACAAGGAGAATCCGGAAACACGTCGCAAAACGCTGGTCGCGCTTTTTACGGATCACCAGTGGGTGGCTCCGGCCGTGGCCACGGCGGATCTCCACGCCCAGTACGGCTCACCGACGTACTTCTATGCGTTCTACCACCACTGCCAGAGCGAAATGAAGCCCGCATGGGCAGACTCCGCCCACGGAGATGAACTTCCGTATGTTTTTGGGATCCCGATGATTGGCCCGACTGATCTTTTCAGCTGTAATTTCTCCAAAAATGATGTCATGCTCAGTGCTGTGGTTATGACCTACTGGACTAACTTTGCCAAGACTGGGTGAGTCAGATTTACCGTCTCACAGTAAAGACATTATCACACAAACAGATGTTGTACCAGTTGTTTCATTATTCTTAGGCACGAGCTAACGCCAGGTAAACCTGTGGATATTTTACGTGGTTAAACAGGCTTTTGGTCACCTTCTCATGTTCCCATAGCAAGGTCATCTGTGGAAAGAACTTTCTTCATGACTGTTTTGCTTACAGAATTCAGTATTATTTTAATCTCCCTTACTGTAGCTGTAATGTAGCACTGAAATACAGCCTCTACACAGAGGGGTTAGTTTAACACGCTGTCACAACCGAGACCCCCAATATAAAAACTCTGAGAAGAGAATCTAAAATCCCCATATACATTCAAAACAGTTTATTTTTTGGAGGTATTATGCAAAGATTCATCAGAAACGTACTTCAGATGTCATGTAAACAAATTATATTTCAATCTATTGTGCTGATATTTGCTTTATGGTCTAAAATAAATTTGCCGGTGTTTGATTTAGCCTCTTTCACTAATCATATTTATTTCGATGCAAATATTATGATGTATTTAGTATACACTCATTATGTATGGTATATACACTTAATAGAGGGTTCTCTAGTAAAGAAAATGGTTCTAAATAGAACCATGAACACTCAAAGAAGCCTTTGCATGATTAAAGTGTTCTTTGTATTGTGAAAGGTTTCTTCAGATTGATGAAGAATGTGCTGAAGATGGTTCTACATAGCACCAAAAAGGGTTCTGCTACTGTTACAAGCTTGACATCGTAACGATAGAAGAAACCTTTTTGTTGCTATATTGAAACATATGCAGCAAATTCTTAAGAACCCTTTCACTGTTTATTGAACAAAGGGTTCTTTGAATGTTCATGGTTCCATATAGAACCATTTTCTTTACTAAGGAACCCTTGAAGAACCATCATTTTTATGAGCATAGAACAGTATTTTATTTAATTAATTGTGCTGCATCTATTTCGTGCTGCTTTTGGCTGAACTGTTCATAAACTGCAGGAGCTTGAAGTGCATTTTCATATGTAGCAGAGATATTTATGTTGCTTGTAATTTAAAAAATATTATGAAAACCTAAAATGTATCACCCCAAAATCATTGTACATGCCTGATTTTTATTATTTCAGGCTTACCAATCAAAATATCTGTTCTTCTACCCTTCAGAGACCCAAACCAACCAGTTCCCCAGGATACAAAATTCATTCACACTAAACCCAATCGCTTTGAAGAGGTGGCCTGGTCCAAGTACAACCCTAAAGACCAGCTGTACCTGCACATCGGCCTAAAGCCACGTGTCCGAGACCACTACAGGGCCACCAAGGTGGCTTTCTGGTTGGAGCTGGTGCCGCACTTGCACAACATCAACGAACTGTTCCACTACGTGTCGTCGACCACCAAGATTCCGCCTCAGGACACGACTCCCTTCTCATACACCAAACGTTTGTCCAACAAGCTCTGGCCGTCAACCACCCGGCACCCTGCCGTTCCTGCAGGGAACACCAAGCAGGCCCCGGACCAGCAGAAGACTCCGGACCATGACGACGGCACCGTGATCATCGAAGCTAGGGACTACTCCACTGAACTTAGCGTCACCATCGCTGTGGGAGCCTCCCTGCTCTTCTTGAACATCCTGGCCTTTGCAGCTCTCTATTACAAGAAGGACAAGCACCGCCTGGAGTCTAGCCGGCGGCTGAGTCCTCCGAGGAACCTCGCCAATGACGTTGCGCGAGTCCCAAGCGAGGAGCTGATGTCTCTGCAGATGAAGCAACTGGATCACGACCACGATCACGACTGCGAGTCGCTGCAGGGGCACGACATGCTCCGCCTGACCTGTCCACCAGATTACGCCCTCACGCTGCGACGCTCCCCGGACGACATCCCCCTCATGACCCCGAACACCATCACCATGATCCCCAACTCCCTTTCAGGGATACAGTCCTCGTACCACCCCTTTAGCACATACGCCAACAGCACTCCCAGCAATACCGGCCTCCCTCACGGACACTCCACCACCAGAGTATAACTCGGTGGCAACGACTGTACAACAAATTATTTAAGTCAGAGGGCGTCCGGCGTTATTTTGTTACTGACTCTTACTATGAATTCAAGATCGATTAACCTGTATAATGTGAACAGTGAATGTAATGATTTTCACATTTATGGCGCAACAAGTAAAGCTCAAAACTGAGCAACGAACTCTATTTCAGTCTTTAGGATACTACACAGTATATGAAGACCCATGGTTTGCATCCTGATCTCTTTGATTAGATGGTGAAGGAAGCGACGTGATGCAGCCTCTGACGCGGCCTCAACGTTAAACGAAATTTCAGTACGAATATCTTCACTGCAAAAAATAGTTTCTTGTCAAGAGAAATGATCTTAATTCTATTCGATATATGTAATTTTTCTTATTTTGAGATGGTTGTGCACTTATAAGATTATCTAGCTTACTTCTAGACATTTTTTACCTAGTAAATTTATTAATTTCACTATACTGGCAGATACTGTAGTCTTTTTCAAGCACATTCCTTAAAATAAGCTAAATTATCTGGCAATATAGTGAGATAACTTTACGTAATAAAATTACTTAAAACAAGTAAAAAATGTTTGGAAATGAGTTAAATAACCTTAAAATAAGCTTAGAACAATCTGAACAGGAGAAATATTGAATTTATCGACTAGATTTGAGATCATTTTTCTTGACAAGATACTATTTTTTGCAGTGTAGTGACGCACCGATACTTACTAAACAGACCGGGTATCAACCAGACGTGACCGATTCGCTACCAGTACTATTTCTTAGTCACTGTTGCTCTTAAATGAGTGTTGTTCCAAAAACGCGATCAGATTCTTACTTTATATTTTTATTAATGGAACCGAATGCTGTAAATATAGTTAATAATTATGAACGACCACCATTAGGCTTATCACAATCATTTTAGCTGATGATTAACTGGCATATAAATAATTGGAGCGCACAGTTTAGTTGTCTTCTTGTGTTCATAATATGCAACAATGAAAATTACAAGCCTGAAGTGGCCAAACTGGCTGATTTAACTATTTTGGTTCCTACCTGTTGATACTTAGATGACCCACAAAGCTAAAATATACACACATTGCTCTAAAGTGTAATAGCAGCAGTCAGAACTCAGAAGTTTTTGTGAGACACCTGATGTGTCTCCATAAGTGTGCTTTCTACTTTATGTAAATTAGCCTATAAACTGATGAAAATGCACCCAACACATGTTCTGATTGCTGTGATATAAACAAAGGACGGTGAAAACTAAGGCTGGCTTTACACTGTGAAACTTTCATGCAACTAGCATGTTGAGATGCTTGCAACTGTTGCGGCTGAGTTTCAAGTGAGTTGCAGGACGCTTTACATTATGCAGCACAGGTGCAATTTAGTTTCATGTAGGTTTCATGTAGGCAGAAAAAGTATCATTACGAATATCTTCACTGCAAAAATAGTATCTTGGTGCAATTTAGTTTCGTGTAGGTTTCAAGCAAGTTTCACAGAGTAAAGCCAACATAACAGTGGTGGAAAATCATTACAGCTGGCTCAAATAATTGCGATTGTTATAATTGTGACAGGCCCAAACACTTATCAAATGAGCATAGGCATGAAATATGGCAAATTTCTCAACAATGCACTGCAGTGTGTCAAAATAAAAGCCCCTCTAAACAAAGCATGTGATGATAAAAGCCCTCCTACAGATTTGTTTACAGGGGCTTTTGCTTTGACCCTCCGCAGTGCATTGTTAAGAAGCATAGTATGAAATATGCTTCTCAACAATACACTGTGGCGTGTCAAAATAAAAGCCCCTCTAAGGAAAGCATGTGATAATAAAGGCCCTCCTGCATAGAGCTTTTATCTCACATGATTTGTTTAGAGGAGCTTTCATTCAGACACCCTGCAGTGCATTGTTAAGCAAATTCCAAATAGAAGAAGAAAAAATAGCACTGATATTGGATCGGTTCTCGGGATCAGCCGATATCATCAGTTAAGGTGTTGGAATCGGTGCGTCCCTAGTAACGTCTTCAGTTCTTGGATCATCTTCTCCTTACGAAAATCTTAACGATTAACTTTAGAAGCAATAGTAGCGTTAGCCATGACCACCATGGCTGTCTTGATTTCGGAGATCTCGTCTGTTTTTTTCGGAAACACTCGGGCGCCGCTACACGACCCCTTTGTAGTAATAGTGAATGATTGCTCTTTCTTTGTTGTTTCATTTCTCTTAGTGCTGTTCCATCCAATTTCGTATTGGCATATTTTGCGATTTGCACATCAAACAGATCAGGCAGGAGAGGTCTGAGTAACAGCCATGTGTTTGAGTCGTGAGCTCGCACGGCTCAAATCCTGGCAAAGAGATCAGAGTGCAGTGTAAATATCTGTGCCATGCATTGAGCGCTCGTACTGTAAATCCGAAGAGCTTAACTCCTAAGGGTGATTGCCTTTCAACTGGCAGTGATCCCATTTCTCACTCCAAATAGTGTTACTTTAGAGCCTAAAGTATAATGTATATAGCATAGGATAAGGAGCAGAAAGCTACAGCTCTTAGTGTTGTTCCGCTTCTAAAGACTCTTTCATTCCATTCGCTTCACGTGCCAAATTTGGGCCGTACGCCGACCGGCTGCCCGTCTCCTTTGTTTCTCAACACGGTGATGGTGTTTTCAAAATCACACTTTCGTGTCTCCAAACACAACAACCTCTCAGTACAGACTTGTGCAAAAGTTTTGGCACCCCTGGTCAAGTTGCATTTATTTTCTAAGTGAAAGTATAAGTTAACACAGACTCCACAGGGAGCACTCTTTCACTGCACTATTTACTATATTTACTGGTCACTGTATATAAGGGTCATTCTACAGAAACGTCCATTTCTGTGTCACTAGCATTTACCGATATTAGGGTTACATTTTTTTTACATTTTTAAATAAAACAATACGTTATTTTAACAGTTACACCTTCTTGAGCCTCAATTTAGCAATATTGGCTTTTAAATCAATTATCTAGAACTCCAAGCACCACAGAAGAGCTCGTCCTCACAGTCATGTGTGAAGGCTGAGGCCATATTTTGAAGAGAACATGTTTTTCTGCAATTTTAACTGCAATAATCTATACATGACTATTTAATATACTAATTAAATGACATAAAGAAAACAAATGCCAAATAAATATTATAAAATATATAATGAAAGTTGTTGTCCCCAGGAGTCGTGTCACTGGTGTTACCGCGTAACAAAAAAATCTCTTATTTTGAAATAAAAGTCCCACTGATGACATCACTCGACTTCCTTTTACCTGTTTTCTGAGGATCTATGAAGAAAAGCTCATGGTGAGTCCACTGTGTCTTTCAGTTATCAGAGATTTTCTCATTTAGCTCATGATTTCATATGAAGCTTTTAGCTGAAGTCACTGGTGTGACCGACTTTATTCTGAGGTAACTGTGAAAAAATAGAATACAAATGGATTAAATTCCATATTTTAGTGGATATTCCATGATTGACAACATGTGGTTTGATGTTCTGTTGCAGCCGTTTTGTAAAATGCATTGTTCATTAAAAATGTCTCTGGTGTTCCTTTATTATGTGGAACACCAGTGACGATCAGTAACACCAGTGACTCCTATGGACAGATAGAAAAGTGGACGTTTCTGTAGAATGACCCATTGGCTAAAAAAAATAGGCTTCAGTATTCAGTATCCCTTGATAGACTTTAAATTGTTTTCAGTTGTTCGTTTATCAGTGTTCTCTTACTGTAGTACCCAGTATGCTTTACCCAGATGTGAATACAATCCCTGTGGTGTCATCCGATCATGCCAGCCTTGCCACTGAGCTGTGGGCCACTGAATACAACCAAGCAAGCATGAATGTAATTCTTACATCAGTCGTCGAACAAAATTGTAAAGAAAACAGCGATTCAGTCTTTATTCAGCCAAAACAGACGCCAGAAGCAAAGTTTTTACCTTGCTAACTTTAGCTTTTAGCTTTGATGAGCCGTCTCTGTGGTTTGAATTATTCATTCTCTCTACTGTAACGATGATTTGAAGACAGCTGCTACTGTTATATGACTGCAGTAATCTTTGCAGTAACATGAGCTGTTTGTCTTCTTTCTATATTCGCCAGCTAATGATAAAAAGAACTTTAAAACCTTTTTGAAAGAAAGAAATGTTGATTTTGATATTTCTCTCTGCTGTTTAAATGCAGGATTGTATATGATTCATAAAGGGTAGTCAAAATAAGCTATAGCTTCAGACTACACCTTTTCGGTCAGTACTTGGTTTTGTATTGATTATTATGTCCATTAATTTTTACTTTGATTTTGGTGTTACCTATTTTTTTTCTCTTTTATTTTTATGGGTGTAAACACCTTGATAAACCGAAATAAACTTATTAATTACAATTTTTTTTTTTCTAAAAGCCACTTAAAAATTCCATCCTAGAACAGTTAAATAGATTTTCAGATGTTCCTCCCACCTTTAATATACATCATCTGAAGGGAGTTTGTCTTTAAAGTTGGGTATGTTTACAACAGATGGTTAAATTTCTCATTTTGAACAGAGCGGTCCCTCAAATTTAGCAAATACATAAAGATTATGGACTAAAATTTGCAGAAATGTGCAATATTTAAATTTGCTCCTGAAAGAGGATATTTTAACTGGTTTATTTGATAGAAGATCAGCAAAACATGACCAGGGGAGCCCAACCTTTCGTATAAGTCTACAAGTTTTCAAAGATGGAGAAATTTCTTGTGAGAATATCAGACTTTGTCAAACTTCGCTGGTCCTCAGGAAGTCTCAACAGATGATGTACGAGCTATGAGTACTAGTAGAGATGAGACGGCCACATCAGGTCCTAGTCCAGCTATTTTTTTACTCACATTCATCATTGCAGCTCGTGATATTGCAGTGAAGGTCCTAAAGCCTGGCTGCAGTTGCAAAAAATCTGGTAATCGCATCAACTTTGAAAATTCCAACAGTTGCAATTTCATTTTCACAGAAACAGTTATGTGGTGGCTGCTAT